CAAACCATCGGTTCCTTCAAAGCCGTACATTTCCGCGATGCGGATCTGCTCGGCCCGATCGAGTAGATCGGAGGACTTGCCAGCATGAAAATGGAGCTCGTTACGCAACCGCAACAGGTACTCCCTGGCATCACGCAGGATCTTGCGATCTCGGTCAGAAATCGCCCCCAGGCGGTTTAATGAGTCGAGTTCGTTTTCACCAAACTTGGCAAAGCCGAGCCAGCGCACCATCTGAATGCCACGCAAGGCTCCGCTGGAACGTTTAATGTTCGGCTCCAGCAAGTGCACGATTTCGCCATACTGCTGACGTTCCTCGTCGCGAGCCTTCATGATCGCGTGAAACAATCCACGGTAGCTACGTCTCGCTTTGCGGCGAAATGGCTCGGCAAAATCACGGAACAGCCCGACACTACCTGCCAAGTAACGGTTTTCGGCGAGCGACGTGAAAATAGTCGCATCGGAAAGCGCCGCCGAGATTGCCTGGGATGGCGTACGCAGGCTGTGCCCTAGGATTAGCCCAACATCAAAGACGTCTTGCTGAAGCCGCTTGGTAAACTGAATGGCGGGTTCACGAAACGTCGGTGCGTGCAGCACCATCAAGTCGATGTCGGAGTAGGGGGCCGTATCACGACGTCCATATCCACCATGCGGAACGACAGCAATGTTGGACAACACACGCTCCGGCGTAAAACCAGGGACGTCGTCCGCGGCGGCGTTGACCAGATCGAGAATAATCCCATCGAAGCAATCCGTAATTTGGGCGCACAGTTGCACGCCGGGAGTTCCCGCTTCGTGCTGCCGTTTGAGTTTCTCTCGGCCGTTGGCCAGCTTTTGCTTTGCCTCGATGACCGATTCACGAAGACGGAGTGCTGCCATGGATACGCTTCAATCTTATCGTGGGGTATACAAAAAACGGCGCCGACATGTCTTCGCAGCGCCGTTTCCAGTTTACTTCATGTCAGAATCCACCGAAGGGATTCAGATGGCATCTTGGCCGGTTTCTCCGGTACGAATGCGGATACTATCTTCCAAATTCGTGACAAAGATCTTACCGTCCCCAA